GAATGTTCATGGCAACCTAAAGACGATGCGTACATGTCACGACTCACGTGTCAACACAACATCATGTCATTATAGTGCTAAAAAAAATGTGCAGTGCTGTGCTGTGTGTTTGGATCACCTTAAAACCACCACCGACTTCACCAATTACATTCTCAATTGGCACCTTGGTGTCTTCAAATGTGATTTCACAGGCTATCGAAAAATGTAGAAATATTCAATGAACATTCATGCAAAAAAAGTGTCCAATTATAAAACTTAATTTTTAACAATAAATACATTGTTTTTTCAATTTTTTATATAACCTACCATTTTTCGTGAAATCTTTTACTTAAGAAGGAATGTCTATTTGTTCCATCTTTGAAATAAAAGCCACTTGGTTTGATTTATATATATACTAACATGCAAATGTTTGGGGTCGGTAAGATTTTTTTAATGTTTTTGAAAAATGTCTCTTATACTCACCAAGGCTGCATTTATTTAAACGTAAAACAATAAAAACAGTACTATTGTGAAATATTATCACAATTTAAAATAATTGTTTTCTATTTTATTATATTTTAATAAATGTCATGTTAATGTCATTTGATCCTTCAGAAATCATTCAGTACAGATTTGGTGCTCAAGAAATGTACTTTTTTTTTTCATTAAAAATGTTGAAAACAGTTGTGCTGTTTAATTTGTTTGTGGGCACCGTGATTTCAGGAGTCTTTGAGGAACAGAAAGCTCAAACAGCATTTATTTGAAACAGAAATTTTTTAGAACAATATAAAATTCTAATAAAAAATACATTTTTAACTGTGGCTTGTTTTTCTCCAGCTTTGAGGTGGAATAACATTCAATGACTAATACGTTTCCACATTAGCTTCAAGCACAAAAGTAGGTGAAGGTTGAAACTTACTGTTTGAGCCTCTGATGCCCAGTTTGTCTTCAGGTTTGCCACTGGTGACACCACCGAACGCCCTCTCTACAATAAAAGCTGTGATCTTATCTTTCTTTTGACCGTCTTTGTCAACAACTTCAGTTCTGGCAAACACAGTCATGATGTCTGCCCAGCCACCATTGGAAATCCAAAACTTGAGAGCAAACATCAACATTTAATCAAAATCATGATTTCACTAAGCCAAACACAACGACCTGATTGAAGCAGTCACCTTTGAGCCATTGAGCAAGAAGTGCTTCCCATCTTCTGTCAGCGTGGCACGTGTCTGTATAGATGCAGCATCACTGCCGCTAACACATGAGAGTACATTTCATCTAAAAATAATAATCAAAGCAGATTCCAAAAAGGATCAGTTCTTAATCTCAGGTTAAATGCTGTACCTTCCAGGTTCAGTGAGGCAGAAAGCTGCGATATGCTCTCCTGTTGCTAGTTTGGGCAGGTACTTTGCTTTCTGAGCATCGTTTCCAGCTATCAGTATACCCTAAAATGCAGAGTTAATTACCAAGTTGTTCTAAAAAAAATTTTTTCAGCAAATTTTAATTTATGCGTAAACTATTGCTTTAATACAGGACTCACAATGAAACACTGAAAGTCATTTGCTCACCTTCAGGCCAATGGCTTGATGTGCTGCAAGTGTGACTGCAATAGCCCCATCTAAAGACGTGATCTCTCCTAACCTGGCATACATGGTGTTTGAGAGGCCCAGACCGCCTGGAAGAAACAGGCAAACAAGAATATGAAACTCTCTGATGATATATAAGAAATAGTCCCAAGTATAAAGTCAGAGGTCAGTCTCACCATATTCTTCAGGTACCTGGATCCCAAACAGCCCCAGCTCCTTTAGTCCATTCAAAGTCTCAGGAGGAATCACGGCCTCATGGTCAATCTTCTTAGAATCAACTATGGTGATATTTGCACATGTGCAGAAAAAAAGACATTTTTTTCAGTCATTTGTATGAATATCATCCAGGAAAATGCAAAAGCTGAGATCAGGTAATAACACCGTATATATAAATATATAAAATCTGGAAATAAATAAATACAAAGTTATGATGTAAATGATTTTTTTTATGATGTAAAAGTCACTAATCAGTAAGAAAATTTTACATTTCCTATGTACAAATGGCAGATTTCCTTACTTCCAATTAAGCGCAAAACTATTTCTGAAATTAATGTTAATTATTAATTGTTAATTAACTACATTTAATGCACTAAAGTTACCCTGTTAACATACTTTTTAAAAAATAAAAAATGCTGTTATATAGAAAAAAAACAATCACAAGTGGATGCATGTCAGTATAATATAACACAATACAACATATGAACAGAAAGCTCATAATAATGAAACAAAAACGCAATAATTCACTCTTGTTTTGTACCCACCATCTTCATTGAAAAACTTCTCCACAGGCTGAACAAGTTGGTTTAGCTCCTCTAATTCTTCTTTGCTGATTTCTGGGTAGGGAAAGACTTCGGCCTGAAAGACGTATAATTTTAATGTAGCATTGCAGTAGAATGTTTAACCAAAAAGAAAACTATCCACTGTAATAACAGTAAATATTATTAACACTATCGTCGCCATTATTGATTATATAGCTCTTTGACCTTGCTGAAGTGGTCAGTAGTATCACAACAAATTATTCTGCAGTTTGTTGACATTACCTTGTTTACGTTGCCCAGGAACAGATCTTTGGCATAAGTCAAACTCCACGCACTGGATCTAATGAAGCGCCGCGACTGAAAGTGATGCTGACAATCTCCTTTTTGCGCGACTCGTGCAGCGAATACATTTCTCCCAAGACTGACTGACCTTGACAAACCAAAAAGTTTGTTCAGGTTCATCTTCAACGTAGAGATTCACCACAATCACCCTACGACTGGCTGAAAAACCCTTTCACCCAGTTTCGTCTCACATTGATGACGACACGAGTCCACTGCGGTGCAGTTCATTTCATGCCCTGCAGATGTCAGTATTTAGCCGCACTACGCAAATTGCTGAGTGAAAACATTGATCGTGATTCGTGAATTCTATCTAGTGACTGAATTCATCACAGCACTTGCTTAGATTTATGTGAATTGCTGCGTTCAAATATTACTGAAATAACTGTGATTAGCAGTTAAGTGGGTCTCTTTCCTCCCAGTCCTTCTTTGGGCAGCGATGCCGCCGTTAGTGTTGACAATGAGGATTTAACCCTCAAAGCTGCTCTATTTATAGCCTATACAGCAAGCCAGACAGGCACAGACAAAAAGGGCACAGAGTCTCTTTCTCACCACCTGTCTGTAGGTCACATTCATAAGAAACAGTTTATCCAGTCATTCACAACTGATGTGCTGTGCATTTTATTCACGTAGCCATGAATCTTGAGGCTTTCAGCCTTAGGCTATCATCTTTAATAATATCTACCATTCAAAAGTTTGGGGTTGGTAAGATTTGTAAACGTTTTTACACGCAATCTCTTATACTCACCAATACTGCTTTTATTTGACCAAAAACACAGTACAATAATAATATTGTATTTAACATAACTGTCTTCTATTGTAATATATTTTAAAATGTAATGTGATGCCAAGCTGAATTTCCAGCAGTCATGATTCCAGACTTCAGTGTCACATGATCCTTCAAAAATCATATGATTTGCTGCGCAAGAAACATTATTTATTTATTATTATCATTAATGTTGAAGTTTTCAAAGCATGTGTGTGATGTCTTGGCTCCTAACGTGTAACTTCTATCAGCGCATAAAGGAGGATGTACTGACCTTGAGTTTGACATCCACAGATATAAAGATACTAAGAAACTCAAGTTCATCAAAGCTCATAAAAGCTCCCAAGGAGTACAGAGAAGACAGAGACTAACCTACCAGTTATTCACAGGATGCTTTAGTTTGATCAATATCAACAGAAATGAACGCATAATATGTCAGACAGAGAAAGACTATTGCAAGGATTCTGACAATCACCAAACCTTCATAAAACAAGTTACGCAATGACCTCGCTGACTCAAATGTACTTGTATGTTGAATTCAACTTTGCCTTGGAGAGTTTTGAAGGTATTTCTCATCATTTATAAATAACTATGATACAAGAATGCATTCATAAAATGGCTTTTGAGATTCACAGAACATGTTAAGGACTTGGAGACATGCATGTAAAATACTTTACATCAATGTGTGCTTTAATACAGAACAATACAAGTTAGGAATTTTCGGTATATTGATTTATTTCATGTTCTCAACATGGTCACAGTTATAGTTAAACATCAATAGGGTCTCATCATCTACTTAGAAACAGAATGCATATTAAAACCATCCTCTCTTTGTTTGGTAATTAAAAAAAATGAAATGTATGAGTGGACGCACATGAAAGGCGATGAGAGTTATGTAACAGTCGGCTTATTAAAGAAGATCCTATGACAAATTCAAGAAGTACATTTGGTAGCAGAAGCAGTGTCCTGTTAATATGAGTCTCTTTAAGGTGGAAAAGGACTTCAAGTCAATGCGATGGCTGAGCGAAAAACAAAAAAGCATAATACAGACTATGTACACGTCAACCCAACCTCCTACCGATTCACTTTCCCTTTATCATCCATATTAGATTTATATATATGATATGTTTTTTTCTAATTTCTCACATTGGCTTGTGATATATACAGCGACACAGGCTTTTTACAGAAAAACAGAAGTGTCTTTTTTAGTGCTGTCAAACCGATTAATCTTGATTAATCGCATCAAAAATAAATGTTTGTGTTTACATAATAGATGTGTGTGCACTGTGTATATATAAAAACACATACATACATACATGTATATATTTAAGAAATATAATATATATAATATAAATCATACATAAATATGAATATGTATATATACACACACACACGTAAATATTTCTTAAATATAGACATGTATGTCTGTGTACTTATATATATATATATACACATTTAAATATACACAGTGCACACACATCTATTATGTAAACACAAACATTTATTTTGGATGCGATTAATCACGATTAATCGATTTGGCAGCACTACTTTTTAGAGATCTTTTTAGGGGGTAAACAAGTGATATACATGCTGAGATGCAGTGGCACAGCATAAAATGTAACAGCAAGCCAACATCACTTAAAAAAAGCAAAACAAAACAATAAAACCGACCAATCGAACAAACAAAAGATGAGAAAAAACATAATTAAAAGAAAGCACATTTCTTCATTTTTTAAATAAGCTCACATTTCAACCAGAGGTGCTAGGCATCAGCATGCAAAGCTTTGTGACGTTTTGACAAAGCTGAAGCACCACAATACATTTACAATACACTGCACTGAAATCCATGAAAAACATTCAACACAAAGGCAAAAAACCTAAAAAAAAAAAAAAAACATACAAAGTGACATTTTGTTGACAGTTCTTTGAATTTATGGTGGGTTATTTAGTCAGAAATGGCTTCGGATTATTGCACTTGTACACAGAGATGGGCTGTCCTAGTCTGATTAATTATGAAGTCTGATAAGGACATAGACACGGATTTATGCTCTATTATCCGTAAGCTTCTATTATTATTATTATACGGATGTGCCCCTGTGGCACTTCATTACGATTAGGCTACAGGCTAATATTTTCCTTTATAAACTATTTGAAAATCAGTGTTTGATTTTTCAAGCCCAGATAAACAATAAACAGATGTCTCCTAACTGAATCTATTTCGCTACGAAACAGGATAAAGATGTTTTGAATCAAGAGCAGTCTACAGATTTTAATGTTCATCATCATCATCACTCATTTAACAACGGTCAACAGTAACACTGATAATATCTCTGGAAATATGCAATATCGAGAGAATATTTAGTACAATATACATGCAAGAGTACTTTAGTTGACATTCCTGACTGTAGGTTGCAGGTAAAACAGAGACCAGGGAGAACAAGATGTCAGTGGGGGCGAGAAACAATATGGGGTTTGACGTATGATACTAGAAATATAACAAAAACAACAAACAAACAAACCGACGAATCAATTGGTCGCAATTCTGAATGTACAAAACGAAACATACATATTGCACATGATTAATTAATTAAAAAAAAGAAAAAAAAAAGAAAGAAAATCAGAAAAAAGAGAAACAACGCACAGCAAATGTCGTAACTGCTGACACTGGTCTCAGCATAAGAGAGCGAGCTCATTTCAGCCGTGGTTTCTGTACATTAAGTGATTATTTACAAAGAAAAGTGCTGTTCAGAAGCTCTGTGCTTGAGTTAAAAGAGCGTTGACACACGAAACTATTACACAAATCACAGCTCCGTCACCATTTATCTACTTACAGTATAAAACAAGTCAAAAGTTGAACCGAGAAAGGGGATATGTGTGAAAAAACATGTTCAAATCCATTCCGAGTGAGAACACACCCATCTGACCCACTGCTACATATTATATGCAGTTTACATTACATTAGATTACATTACATTAGCTGTGTTTCTGAGCAAGTGAAAGGCATTCTCACAGGAGGACAGAAGAATATGTATCAAATCTACTTCATTTCCACACAGAAGAGGGCACACGCTCAGCCTGCTGAGAAAAATCAACATCTCTGCACAAACTAACTCTTGAAATATAGGGAGAGAATTCGATCAGCTTTGAAGTGCAGCCTGCTTTCCTCCAACACAAACACTACCTCTAATGTTAGACGTCAAAATAGCCTTCTCCATCACACCGGCTTTACCATAAACATCTTCAAACGTACATTTGTTTCATATTGATTTATTCATCTCTAAAAAAATAGTTAAAAAAATAAAACCATGTTGCAGCAGTGGCCGAGACCGACGAATCGAGGCCGTGGAGGATCCATCGATGAGCTCGCCTGTTCCGCCCTCCCCCTTCCCACAGTCCCTGTGATTGGTTTGCGCTACGTAGATCCCAAAGGAGGTGGAGAGAAACGCAAGCCGGAGATTCCAGGAGAATCTTCCAACTTCAAGGCAACCAACAATTTCCATTTTTTTTCAGTATCAGTGAAAACTAGTAACTCCTCTGTCAAGAGTACACAGAGAATACTGAGATTTTATCTGAGGCTTCGGATCATTTTTGTCCTATAACAATAATAATAATAGCTGGTAATATTATTATTATTATTTTACAAAATACTATATGCACGACATACACAAAGCAAATCTTTTTTCTCTTTTTTTTTGGGAATAACTCAGTCACTGCTTAATAATTGGCACGTTATAGTCCCCTAACTATATCACAGAAATGTGTGGTCTACAGCTACATTAAATACTGGAACACCACTCGTTGTGACCGACTTCGACAGACCCTTCTCTCAAACCATTCTTTAGTTTCTGCAAACTAATAAGCAGGCTATTTGATAATGCATTTTGGGTAGATAAGTACAAGAAAACAGTTGCCACGGTCTTTTGCGCATGCTCTTGCTTTACTGCCAAAGTCGAGAGGGTTGAAAGTCTCTAAAATCGAGCCTAAAAGAAGCAGCTTTATCTGGGGCTCTACAACTTGAGCAATGACTGGAAAGAACTGATGATTTGAGTTCTAGCCACCCTAAACGAGAAGGCCGGTGCTACACAGTGTGGCTCCCCTTTCCAGAGGAAACGGGTACTGGATGAGTTGAGACGTGTGACAAGATGCCCTTTTGTTTGTGTCCTGGTAGGCAGCAATAATCCGTTGCATGTTACAATCTAAAGAGAGGCCCAACGGTCACCCCGCCAAAAACGGTCCCATTCCCATGTGGAAAGAGTTCGTGGAGCGGCTCAAACCACAGTGCTGATGCCGCTGTGTTTGGGCTTGGTGCTGCTGGCCGCCGGAGGAGGGGCTGGAGGCTGGCTGTGGTGGTGAGGTGCATGCTGGGAGTGGGAGGGGTGCGAGGGGTGTGGCCCGTGGCCGTGGGGACCGTGCGAGTGGCTGTGAGAGGACGAGGGACCGGGCGGGGGGTGGTATTGGTGGGACGGGTGTTGAATGTGTGCTGGGGGCTGGTAGTGATGGGGGTGGTGGTACGGAGGGGGATTCTGCATGTGGCAAAGCTGAGCGTGGTGGGGGTGCATCTGGGCCTGGGTCTCGGTGACTGTGACGCCGTCACGGGCCGTGTGGTGCAGGTTGGAAGGGTAAGGGGTGTGAGTGATGAGTGTTGGGTGGGCGGAGTGGGAGGTGTGCGAGGGCTGGGGAGGCAAAGAGGGCGACTTTCCCCGCTTGGTGCCGAACAGGGAGCCCAGGAGAGAAGAGGAGCTGGGGATGGACTGCTGGCGGGAGGGGCAGTCTCGGCTGGAAGTGGCCCGACGCCGTATGTGGGGGCTGCTAATGATGGACCCCTGCAGGAGAACGATGGAAAGAGTGAGAATGAAGAAGTTAAACACGAGATATGTACAGCATGCTCAATGAGTCAAGAGCACAGTTCCATTAATATTCCTCATTCTGCACTCTACATTTTTAAATGTTCATTTGACTTAATTTAAATATGTAATTATTAGGGTTGGGAACCAAGAATCCATTTTTCCGTTTTCAAAAACAAAACAAAACAAAACAGCAATGATTTTCATGACATTCAGTTTTGTTAACAGGTCTTCAATGAGCTTATTTTTGGACCAGCATAGTCCAATCCATGAATCATTAAAAAGACTCACAAATAGGTCCAGTACGGAGTTATTGGTTTGAATCAGTCTAATGGCTCATTCACTGAATGAATCAATTTGATTCTTTACTTTCATTACTTTTATCATGTCCAAAACAAGGAGAACCACAAACTGTTAAAAGAGACTTAAAACAGTGTAGCTATTGCTTAGTTGTTCATAAAGCAGTGTAGTTAAAGACACATATTCAGAACAGAACTGAATTAATAATAAAAAACTTAAAAAAAAAGATTTGTTAAGTAAAAAAGGAAACTAAGTGTAATCTAATTTAAAACAAATTATTTGATTCCCATCCCTAATAATTACATATTTCATATATTTCAAGTCATAATACATATTCACCACTGTTGGGGTTGGTAAGATTTTTTTTATATTTCTGAAATGAGTCTCTTATGTACACCAAGTCTGCATTACAATGTTTTCTATTTTAATATATTTTAAAATGTACTTTATTCCTGTGATGGCAAAGCTGAATTTTCAGCATCATTACTCCAGTCTTCAGTGTCACACGGTTCTTCAGAAATCATTCTAATATTCTGATTTGGTGCTCAAGAAATATTTAGTATTTTTATTAATTTTGAAAACAGCTGTGCTGCTTAACAGTTTTGTGGAAACCATGATACATTCTTTTTTTTTAAGGACTCTGACGAATAAAAAGTTCAACAGAACAGCATTTATTTTGAATAGAATTCTGTTGTAACATTATAAATGCATCCTTGGTAAACAAGTTTTTTTTTTCAAATTCTTAAAAATGTATTCTTTAAAAATCTTACTGACCCCAAACTTTTGAATAGTAGTGTAATTTTGACCAAAAGATGAAGCAAATTTATTGCCCAAAATAGTCTCTCATAAAAAGTACTCTAAAAATGATTCCATTTATGTCAGTATTATAAAACAAGGACACAGCACTCAAGCAAATGGATCATGACCATCCATCAGCAGTTAATACATTTATAAAAGACTGAAGCAGATCCCTGAAAGCCATGCATTACATGCAAAAGCTGAAACAAGCAAGATTGAGTTAGTCAGCGTTTAGCAATGTTAAAGCAAGCATATGGGCTTCTCCTGCATTCCAGAATGGGTTGCCAATCAAACTGGCACACATAATAACCTATATGGACTAAAAGGGTGACAATCCAAATCCAGTCTATTAAAGCATCACCTTTGCTAAACTCCCTCATCTTTATTTTGCTTATCTGCATGGGATGGGAAACAATTTCAAGGCATTCTGAGAGGTAAAAGGTGTTTAGGGCTGGAGAGGAAGAGGTCAAGTGGTTGGCGGTTGGTGAGGAAATGAAGACTTGCACTTTTTGAAGTGCTCAAACGCAACACTCTATTGTTCACTTGCAGCGGCCAACTGAAACATGCCACCAGGAATCAAATCGAAACAATTTGCGAAAGTAAAAAGACACACACAGCCCACGGAACGTGACATGGGATGTTTGCATTAGTTGAGTCATGCTGACTAAGTTGGACCATGGAGATGTTATGATATGTGATGTGAGCCACGGGGGCAGAATTCCCCGTCATTCCACATAAGCTCCACATGAACAGGCAGTCTATGCATGCAGGGTGGCCTACTTAGTCCAAAAACAATACCACACACATACAGACAGTGGGAACTATTGAGCAAAGAAGCAACCCAAAAGAAAAGATGGTAGACAGACCAGAGAAATAAATAAAGCAAAGTTGCAGTTTTGAAATGCAACACTGTCACACAGAATAGCGACCTGTTGTAGGTTCTTGCATCCTATATCACGGTACTTACTTCCATATTGCTGTCTAGAGATCCTGCACTGCTGCGGCGCCCCCGCTTGCCTGAGCGAGACATGCAATATGATAGATTAGAGCACGCTCGAACAGTCAGATATATAGAGGCGTGTGTAGAGGCATATATATCCTGCCTGCCTACAGGGGCGCTATTGAGACATGAAGCAAGCAGCCGCTGTTTAAACAGGGAGGGAGGGTAGAGCCAGGTGGGTCGGGAGCTTTTAAAGGGCCAAAGGATGAGGGTATGCTGGTCCTAACATCAATGAGCATAGAGCTACATCTTCAAGTATCTTAAGCAAACTGGGTTTTGATGACTACAAGCAAACTGATCCCTACACTAGATCGCAGCAGCAACTGAACAAAAACAAGCAAAAACAGTGGGAAAAAAATCTTTATTATTTCTGATGCATGGACAAATACAAATGTGGCAGCCTAGACTGGCAGTATGAAACCACTGACAATCTTTAGTAAGTACTGAATGATTGAATGACAATGTTAGGAGAGCTATCAACTGCTAGACACATAGCTTTGTCTTAAAGGAATAGTTCACCAAAAAATGAAAAGTTGCTGAAAATGTACTCAGCATCAGGCCATCCAAGACGTAGATGAGGTTGTTATCAGATTTGGTGAAATTTAACATTACATCACTTGCTCACCGGTGAATCCTCTGGAGTGAATGGGTGCCGTCAGAATGAGAGTCCAAACAGCTGATAAAAACCTCACCATAATCCACAAGTAATCCACACGTCCATCAATTAACATCTTGTGAAGTGAAAAGCTGTGTTTATGTAAGAAACAAATCCAACATAAAGGCATTTTAACTTCAAACTGTTGCTTCTGGCCATAATAACGAATCCATAACCCATATTGACGCTTCCTCCAGTGAAAAAGTCCATCCCCTATTGTCCTCTCAATTACAATCCACTGACATATTTATTTAGAACAGTTTTGACTTATATTTCACTTATTTCCCGATTTAGACGAGATGACTTTTACACTGGAAAAAGCAGTAGTATGGATAGAGGACTCGTATTTATTGTTTCTTACAAACAAACAGCTTTTCACTTCAAAAGTATGGATTACTTGTGGATTATTGTGATGTTTTTATCAGTTTATTGGCACCCATTCACTGCAGAGGTTCCACTAGTGAGCAAGTGATGTAATGCAACTTTCTCCAAATCTGTTCAGATGAAGAAACAAACTCATCTACTGTACATCTCAACTGTACATTTTCAAAAAATTTTCATTTTTGGGTGAACTTTTCTTTAATGCATTATTTAAAAGATACTGCACACATTTTCAGTGTTTTCACTGTCGAGGATTGCTGGAGTGGGATATTCATAGCTTTGCCAGTCATCTCTCAAGTTCACATGTGTCGTGTCCCCTGCCATCAGGCTCAGCAGCCAGCTCGGTTGAGTTCAATTCACACTTATGGAGCATGACTACGCTGTTAAATGATTGTTCTAACTGAGAAAGCATGAGGCCACACTTCACACTATCCCTTTTTTTTTCTCAGTGTAGTGACTGCCATGGGTGAGAAGATATCACAGCTTGTGAATTGTGTGAGGTTCAATTATAGAGTAGGGAAAAACAACTAATGTGGAAGATAATATTTGTCAGGATGCATCTAGCTTAATTAGCCATGGCAAAGGACACTCATAATAGGGCTTGGTGACAGGTTACTATTATTTAGATATTTTTCAGCATCCTTATGTAATATTATAAATATAATATAATTGTATTATAATTATAATAACAACAAAATAAAATTTATTTTAATGATAATAACAACATTATAAAACTGATTATAATTATCACATACCATATATATATATATATATA